AAAAAAAAAAAAAAAAAAAAAAAAGAAATTTTATGTCATGTATATGTAGGCTAAATAATTTCTGAATACATATACAAAATAATGAATCAATTATTACTCTTTTAGGTAGACTTTTAAAAGCTACACCCTAAGCATTGCTTTTAGCATCTCAAAAAGATTTAGTATAAAGACTAACTCAAAAACTAATATTGTTTATGTTGATTCTTACACTTCCTGATTCCCGTCTATAGATCACAATTTGGATTCTGGAGAGAAAAGCAATTTAAGGAAAACTTTACTTGTTTTCCTCCTGTTGATAAGCAGAGCACAACTCTCTCTGTGCCTGGGAAGGAAGATCTCAACCCCATTCACAGAAGTAGATTTTGCACCTGTATTTATCCCAATAATGACTCCATCCTAAATCCTAGAAGTCTTACTGAGTAGGTAGCCGACTCTTTTATAAAGTGTACAGTTTCCTTTTTGTCTCATACACAAAGGGAGGGTTCTGTTCCATGGTTCACTTGAATGATGTAGGCTATGTTCATGTCATCCTTTTGTATTCCAAAGCTTTTTTCTAAGCACCACCTACTTCTACTTTTTCATCTAATTTTCTACTTCTACTCTTCCATCTAATTATGCACCAGTTCTCATCTACTAATTATTCCCTGAAGTGGGAATGAAGGCTCTGCTCTGCTAATAACTATACATCCCTGCCTTTCTGATTCTCAGTTTTCTCTTTTCTACCAGACTGCTTTTATCCATTTCCCAGGAGGAAGTTATACATCTGCATATGTAGAGTCATCAGGTATGGGCTGTTTTTAATTTTTACTCCTTCTTGTTTTTCTTTTGATCACTGTAGTTCTCAAAGTACCCCAGGGAAAGGACAAATATGGAAAGGAAGAAAAGAAGGAGAAACACAAAAAAACTTTCAGGGCTAAAACTCAATGCAGTTTTGAAGTTAATCAATAGCTTGAACAATAGATCTCCATGTGAAGAAAGTTTTAACTTGGGTTTATAATCAAGGACCAGTTGTAGTTTATGGTGATACACTGGTCAGTTACCAATTTATGGTTTTCTCTTAATGGGATAGATTGGTTGTGAGATGAAAAAAATTGTATCACTTTCAGATTTTTATGTCAGGACTTTTGTAGGACCTTGAAATTGAGGGCTAAACAGTAAGAATAACTACCCAGGCAAGATGTCTATGACTATTTTTAGAGGAAAGAAAATGAATAGTATATTCAATATTTTGTCTCTATTGAAAATATTTAAGTCTGAGTATTTATTTTGTAGGGACCCTTACAGGAGTTAATGAATGACAGGACCTTTTGGAGTCACACTCCTAAAATTTCTTGGAACCTTATTTGGTGTGATCATGTCAATTTCAATTTATGTGAGTGAGAGAAGAGTAGGGAAAATGAAATCTGACCAAAAGCAACAAAGAAAACCAAAAAAGAAGATATCTGAGAAGGACTGAATGGATTTTATAGGATCATTCTATGGAAAGAAAATCATGAAACATTAACTATACCATGACAGAAAGTTTGGCAGGCAGCATTGGTAAAATAAACTGGTCTGATACACACGGAGAACATAATACATCTTCTTGAGCATATGTAACTGTAATTCTATTAATGACTATTTAGCAGTATTTTATGCTGTACAAATTGACAATAGTAAACATTTTTAGAGGAAAATATTACCAATTCAACCTTTAAGAAATGGTCATAAAACAGAACATAACCTCCCTCTGTAGTGCTGTTTAAGAAGTTTTACAAAAGGTAATAAGATAAACTGGAATAAAGCTGATAAAACAACAGAATTGCTTGAGTCTGCCTCTGATTCTGGAGGTTTACAAACATTAATATGAAAGACCAATTCAACATTTTTAATCAAGAAAGCAAGAAAAGTCAGCAGTTGTTAAGTTCTCATGATTCAGAAGGTGTCTATTTCTCTGCCAACCTCAGCATTGTGTTTTAGTTATATTAGAAGCTAAAATAAGGAAGCAATTACTTCTGATATCACTATCTTGTAACTCAACAAAGATGTGGAATTTTTTGTTGTTCGTTGGATCATTAATGAAACTGATATATGTGTGTTTCAAAAAGCTGAAATTGCATGATAAATATTCCTGCAAATACTATATTTATTTGAAGTATGCTATTTATTTAGAAAATAAGAAATGAAATAGTTCTCTTTAAATGCACTTTTTAAATACATGTTTTCTTCAAAATTCTTTTCAGATTTTTACATTACCTTGTCATTAGATTTAATCCTAGTTTTTAAGTCACTTTGTAAAATTAGAATATACAAAATAAGGTTGAAACTATACACACACAGGTGTTTTTAGGAAGATGATGTACTTTTTAATCACTGTTTTGGCCTTTCCTACAGTAAGGCTAGGACAGCTTGTCTGGTGGATTGGAATTTTAACAATTATTTGCAAATGTCAAGCTGAATGGCTTTGATCTAAGGGTCCCAGAATGGACTGAACTTCAGAGTAGGCAACACCTGGCCTATCTTTATTCTGTGCTCAACTCTTTCTGTTAAAGATGACAAGGACTGGCGACTAACTACCTTGGGTCACTCTTCCCCCTTGTATTTAAGGCCAAACAACAGAAACTAAGCGTAGCTATCTGTGATCATTTAGAACTAATACGTCCCCCAAAGTCTCATGTGTATGGAAGGTGACTGGATCAGGAGGGCACTGTACTAATCACTGAATTCGCGGGTGATGAATTTGGTAGCTGGGTGTTGCTAGGAGGCCGGCCCTGGTAGGAGGTGGGTCAGCGGGGACAGCACCGGAAAGTATGCTTGTCCCTGGCTCCTCCCTTCTTTCTGTGCTTCCTGGCGGCCATGGGTTGGACAGTTTTCCTTTCCATGTCCCTCCGCCATTCTGTGTCAACCCCAGAGACAGTGACCATGGATAAAACAGTGAGCCAAAGTAAACCTCTCCTCCTTTAACTTATGGGTGACCAGTATTTTTGTCCCAGTGATAGGAAGTAGCTGAAACACTATCCAACATTAATCTCTACACTGTTCTGCACTTAAACTATACACCCTTCCTTCCTATTTTTCATGTCTGGCCTCTACCTGACTGTAACTGGCTGGGCCTCTCTTCGCGTTCATACACACACACACACACACACACACACACACATATATATTTTTAGACAGGGTCTCATTATGTAGTTGAGACTGACCTGGAACTCACTGTGTAGCCCAGGCTGGTCTCAAACTCATAGTGCAATCCTCCAGCCTCAGCCTCCCAAGTGCTGGGATTACAGGTGTGCACCACCATGCCCAGCTTATAATTCTTTATAATAAGTAACTTCTCAGAGAGATAGGAAACTGGCAGGAGCCTTGGGTTACCTGGATGAAGGTGCTTCATGTAGCTTAACGCTGGCACTACGGTCCCTCCGTACTGGTGCGGGTTCCAAGGTGGGCAGACCTGTGGCTGAGGTGGTAGTTGTCCAAGTTGATGAAACTCGTCTCAACAAGCCCGGGGGCAAGCTTCTCCTCAGGCGCTAGGAAAGAGTGTTGACTGTATTAACAAGCATGTTTTATACCACTAAATTTTATGTAATACAGTAGAAAGAAATGGGTTTTTAGCTGAAAGTGAACCGATGAAAATATTGGCCATCATCTATCTAAAATTTGGGTACTCAGAAATTCAAAAGACTTTCTAGCCAATATTACATGAATATTATAAAAATACTATTTTTGAGGATCTTCATTTTAGTGCTTATACAAATATGGAATTATAGGAATGAGAGTCATTTACCTCTGAGATTATTTTATAGTTACTTTGACAGGGTTTGTACATGTATATACACATACTATATTAGTTATTATTAGCAGAAGTTTTTCTGCAAAAGTCATTTCTTGGGGTATGGATTAATTTATGTTGTCTTATACAATAATCTATACCCCTGAGTGCTATTGGTTCATTTTTACTGTCTTGATTTACAAGTGACAAGGCTAAGTGTAAGAATGTAACTCACAGAGTACACTATCTCTTTTATGGAAATTATGTCTTAGTCATCAGTGATGTGGTTAATGTCATCAGTACTGACTTCTCTTAATGGAAGATACTTCTGGTCAACCTGCTGTTGTTTCTGTATCATTTCCCCTTCCACAGAATCCTCAGGGGGATATGCAACAGCAGCAGCCCTGGGGCAGTAGTCTGGGCTCAGCACCATGGGCCATGGTACACTAAGGATGGTGTTAGCTTTAAAGATTAATGTTAAGGTATTTCCTGATGCAACTTCCATAACCAGCATAACAGGCAGATCCTATACCTACTGTTATCTGTGACTAAGTATAACCTACCAAACCGACTGTGTAGGCAGAGTTTATGACATAGGAACATTCCGCTCTTCTGGGCATGGGAAAAACTTTGAGAAGTGAAGTAGATGGAAATTTGAGATTCATGAATAGCTCTGATACTTGACTGTTTCCAATGTGTGCTACAGATCTCAGCATGCACCTAAGATGGTAATTTAGTAGGAGATGAAAAGGTCACTCATTGGTGTTTGCCAAGTTTCTTGCTTGAAGTCTGTTTTGAGACCCTAAGGAATGAGTTTATTTCCATATTAATTTCTTTACTTTCATACTGAGCCTTGGTGTATCTTTCTAAGGGAAGTAAATGCTTGAAGGAAGTTATATACATGTACAATTGACAGAGACAGGAGGAATACTTGAGAGCCAAGAGAATCACCGGAGTAGGAAACCCCTAAACAGTCAGCTTACTGCATACACTGAACTTCGGACTTTTTACCTTTAATATAATTTATTCTCAACTACCACTCTACCTCCACAATTTAAAGGCAGGACTCTACCTTTACAGTTTACTTTAGAAAAACTCATACAGGTTAAATAGGTCTTCTACAAAATGATTGGGACCAGAAGTGAGTCCAATTTTTTTCCACTGTGAAATATTTGCATAGATTTTACCAATTGAGCAGTCCTAATCCAAAAATCTGATACTCTAGATCAGACATTTTTTGAATATCATACCATTGCTCAAAGCATTTTGGATTTTGGAGCATTTCTGGTTATGGATTTTGGATAAAGGATGCTCAACTTATACATAAAAAGAAGGAATTCTATCATTTCTTTTTACATATAAGATATGTTTATTTAAATCAGTAAGGCTATCCTTTGCTGTGAATAATTTATAACCAACAAAAACTGTTCAAAATTTGCTTTTGAGAAATCCATAGAAGTTTGTATGATGTCACATTAAGAATTAAAAAAGCAAAGGAATCTTCAGTTTTAGAAGGCAATGCATTCTAAACAAAACCCACACTGGAATGTAGTGAGGAATTTTTTTTTTTTTTTTGGCCTAGGTTTGTTATTTTGTTTTTGCTGTAATATTCTTATCGCCTTATCAACACACATTGGCAGAGAAGTAAAAATTGAGAGTTTCAATAAAGAAGGTAAGATCAAAAGGGAAATTTTCTATTTACACAAAGGTATCAAGTACAAGCAAGGAGAGAGGTGTTTCTGTTGAAATTTTTATTATTTTTGTCACTTCTGTCAACGTTCTTCCCCTTCTAACTGATGTGGATGAAGTCTGCAGATGGGTTTGAGTGACAAGAAGGAAACCTGGGAGGCCTTGAACCTTGTACCCCTCCAGGGAACATGTCATTAACACCCACCTTGGGGATGGTCAGCTTGTCTTTTTCAGAGCTCTCTTCTGAATCGGAACAGGTGTAGTTTTCACTGAAGGACACCACGGGGTTGGCTCTGGGCTTGTGGACGGCCGGGAAGGTGAGCTGCGTGCTGAGCAGGTTGCTCACGGCCCGCAGCGATGTGCACACATTCGGGGGCAGAGTGGGGTCCGCCAGGAGGTCGGTGATGAGGCCGTGGGCCTCGCCCATCACGGCAATGTCCACGGTAATACTGGTTCCTGAGGACTGAGGAGGCAAACCCAGAAGGCCGGGTGAGAACAGGCCCGAGTCTGGAGCCACGGAGACATACACTGACCTTTTGTTTTTTTCAACTGAAAATAAACTCGGGTGACTCTTGGAAGTTTTGGTACGATCCAATTTAAATCACATTTCTATTATAAATTCTGCTGAAATTTGTCATGGTTTTCACTCTTCATATGTTCTTATGGAAAATTTTAAAAAATGATTAATTTTCCTTTAAAAGAATTTATATAGCCCTGTGAGCATTATGCAATGGATAATATTTAATCAAGCAAGGCATATTTATTTTCTCTACCATGTGTTGTTTCTTCATGGAAAAAATACTTAAAATCTTTTCTTCTAGTATTTTTGAAATATCCATTGCATTCTCATCATCTGTAGTCAGTGCTGTGCAATAAAACAGCAGAACGCACCCCTATCTAAGGCACATTATTAACGCTAGAACTTGAGGAGAGGTAGAACTTATTTGAAGAGATTAAAAAGATAAACATGAATTTTTATTTATTTGCATCTTTATTAAGTTTATTGGTACATTTTAGGTATACAACACAGTGACGTCCATCACTGGGATCTTGTACCTCCACCTGACTTTCCCCATCTGTCCCTTCACCTCCTCCACCTTTCCCTGTTTACAAAGACTTTCTTTCCATGTCTTTCCTTTTCACATATATTTTCTTTTCCCTTCTTACCTTCCCCTCCCCCTCTCCCACTTCCTCTATTCTTTTAGACCTTTTCTTCCTATTCCATAATATCAATTATACATTTTTATCCCTCATTACACTTTCGGTTTTTCGCACCAGAGAAACTATTTGGTATTTACACATGTGCGACTTATTAACTTCACTTGAGGGTATGGCGTCAATGTGCATCCACTTAGCTAAAATATCTCCGGTGTCTCATTGTTTATGGCTGAGAGGTACTCCATTTTATTAAAAAACAAAAACAAAAAAAAAACATCTTTTTATCCAGTCTCCAGTATCGAGTATCCAGTCTGTTAATTAATTTTTAAAAGGCAAATGGTTTCACAGAACTGGAAAATAGAACCCTTTAGACTGGCCACTCCATAAGAAGAGCTGATGCAATGAGAAGGGCAGAGGGAGACCAAGACCAAGGGGACAACAAGCCCTACAGGCAGATGTAAGAACTGGGGGTGCCCCTCCGCGAGATGCAGGGAAGCCGCATAACCACCAACTGCCCGACGTGGTGATTAGGGAAGCAGGTTCTGGAGCAAGGCTACTGAGATCCAGGTCCTGCCTCTCTATCACTATGTATTTGCATAAACTATCAAATTACTAAAATCTCCATAGTGTGAGTCCATCCATCTAAAAGTATATGTAATAACAATAGGACAGAAGGTAACTACAAGAATTAAAATTAATAATATATGTATAAGACTTGTGCTAGCAATTATAATTATTAGTATTCAATATCATATAATACATTGGTAGTCAATAATAGTGATATAATTACTAATTACTAATAGTAATAACTGAATGTGTTCCATAAGGAGCCATTAGAACTTCGTTGCATATTAGCAGGAAAGTAAAATTTAATTATTCCCTCACAATGGACTTATACTCCAAAGAAATGAGAAAATTAAATGTATACAACTATAAGATTATTAAAAGAAAACATGATGGACTATTTTATAATCTTAAAAATAAAACCATAAAAAAATGATATGAATCCATAAGCTGCCAAGGAAACATGGGACAGATCTGACCCTATGAAGATGTAAACAACTACAGTTCCTGAGAAAACATACTATTAGCAAAGGAAAAAGTCTGAGAAAATGTTTGCCACACAGAGAAGAGAAAATACACTAAATAAAGGCTTTTAGAATCCAGTAAAAGGAAAAATTGCAGGAAGGGAATGAATATATAATTCAAATAAAACAGAAGTAACCAAATATATAAAAAAACTGTTATGACCTCTCTAATAATTAAAATGCAAACCAATATGGCAAAAGCAACTATTTATCACTACATATCAAATTGGCAAAAACAATAAACATGGGTAGCATGAAGCATTCATATTGGTGTGGAGAAATAAGTACTGAGTGAAAAAAACAGTCTTTCAAAGGAAATTATGCTATCAGTTTGTACTTTAAATACACTATCCTATGATTCAATCATACGACAAGACATCTGGTCTAAAGAAATACATCTGAAAATATGTAAAAATACAAACAGAAAGACTCAAAGAGTAAAATAGTTCTCTGGTAACAAAAGCCAAAGGATGTAACCACTAAAATGCATAACAATAGGGAAACTGATCAAAGTTGTATTACAACTGATTTAAAACTGAACTAGTTTAAAAGATTTGTGTAGATCTGAAAATGATTAGATAATGCTCAATATTTTTTTTTTTTTTACTGGGAAGGGAGTATACCTTAGAAAAAAATGCATTATTTTTGTAAACAGAAAACTATAATTATGAAAATACCCAATATTCCTGATGATTTCTAGCCTTGTAACTACTATAATGCATAGATAAGTTATACTATAAAATATCATACTGAATATACAGATCTTGTATTACTACCATAGCAATAACCATAATAATTATGATGACAACTGATGCTTACTGATTAAAAATCTACAAAGTAGGCACTACGAATTACTATATTTTTATTAGTTACAAATTAATTGCCAAAATCAGACAGGTGGAAAGGGAAAATGCTATGATGCAAATACAAATAATTGGATTCCACAGCTCAAATGTTAAACCACGATGCTGAAATGAATTCTGAAAGTTTTCATTTTATGTTCCTAAGTATATGTGTCATTATTTCAAGCCTTGATCATACAACTTGCAACACAGCAGATATATACAGTAGATAAGTAGGCCAATGAACAGAAAAAGGTGAAATTTAATAGTTTTAGAATACACAATTTTACATGTCATATATGTGCACACATGGTTAATTTTTAAAAATTCTCTTAAAAATGTCATTGAGTTAACATTCCTGGTTAGCAACATGTATTTTCACATGTGTGTCTAATCACTGTGCTTTCAAAAAACTTACTAGTGTTATCTCTGAAATAGAAATGTTTATTCCTATCCATGTTGTGCTAATAAACAAGACACTAGACTATTTTCCCCAAAATTTAAAATTTTAAGTCAAACTAAAATTTTAAATTATGTTTTCAGAACATAAAATGTTAAGGCTTTTTGGCAATGAAATTAACAGTTTATACTGTAATAATTAATAAAACTTCTTAAGATGCTCTTAGAACATAAAAACTACCAATCTGAAGAAAAAGTCAAGTATGTCTGCTAAAATTAAAATTAGAATTTTAAAGATACATTATGGGTAAGAGGACAAGTCTTTTTTATAACTGTCGAACTTTGTATCTTTTAATAATAAATTTTCTCTATTGTAAAAAATAAGGGATGTATTTGCTATATATTCAGAAAAAATAAACACTGTAATTTTAAAAGTAACTTTAAAATTAGAACAGATGAAAAAACTCATCTTTATCAGTCAATGTGAGTTTTGCCTAAGAAGATAGAAAATGAGCACAGTATATACTTCAGTGTTACTATGCTATAGCTTTTATGAAAGCAAAGGAGATCCATAAGTGAAAACAAAATCAACATTCAAGCCAAGGACAAAATTTTCTATATTGGAATCAGCTAAGGAGCCAAAGTGAACATTACTATTGCTGGGGGGGGGGAGAATCTCCCTACTAGTGTTCAGGTTCTTGCTGAATTGGGGTTCTGATTCAAGAATTGAGTAGTATCGCAGTCAAAAGTTACATCATACATGAGAAGTTATCACCACCATTTTGGCTCAAGTAACTAAAGGCTTCCATGAGGCTTAAAACCAACAATCAGATTTGTTTGCCACAGACCCGCTGAGTCTGAGCATGTGTGAAATGCCCAACAAAAGGCAGAAAGATAGATAGACAGGCTGTTCCTTCAATAAACAGCAGGCAAGCCATAAAAAGGGGTTAGAGACCAGGGACCTGCTATGATGAATTTCATGGTAGAGGGCCTTCAGCTGTCCATATAATTTTAATGTTTCAAAAATCATGTACAAAGTAGGAAAAAAGTTGAGGGACTCACACAGGGACTATTTCTTTTTAAAAATTACATCTGTAATAATATACAGATGTGATTTTATATATTTAGATATAAAATTAAATTTCCACTTCCATCATAATACTCAGAAATATTTCATTTAGCTAGTAAAATCTTCTCTAAGATAATAAACACTAAAAGTTAGAGTTATATAAAAGCTACTTTAAAGGAAAGTCTTAAGCTAACACTCTGAAATCACTCTCAAGTAGCAATGAGCTATACTAAGCACCAAACCACAGTTGAGTCTCGGTAAGGTACAGATAATCAAACACATTTTTTCTTTTTTAAAAGGAAAGTTGCCAAGCAATATAAAACATTCTGCTTCACAAGCTCTCCTCATAATACAAATATTTATATGTAACATTTAAGAAAGTTAATTCCCTAGATACCATTTACATGACAATGAAATTTGGATTGCCACCTTTAAATAGAAAATCTGGAATTTAAGTCCTATAAACAGTTGAGGAAAAGGCACTTTTGTGTATCAAACTCAAATCTTCAGATCCTCCCGTTACATCCACCACTTTTCAATGCACCTATTTTGAAGCACCTGGCTTGGCCCTCTTTTATTCCATCTGGTTTACCTCAGCCTCTCCTGATGTCCCACCTAATGCTTCTTTCAGACTCACAAATGTAAATGGCCCTGCCAGCACATGATGTGAGTTGCTTCCAAGTTATCTCTCTTATCATAAAGCTAAGGCCCAGATAATTGGGCAAAATAAAAAGTAATTAGAAAGAAAACAAAAAATATGTTTATAAGCAACATTAATGTAACTTCCAGACTAGACATTTAACTACCAATTTAACTACAGAAAAATATTTTCTTGCTTGTTTTAGTATCGGGCCAAAGCTGAAATTACTGCCAGTTGTGATAATGGGGAATCTTTGAATACATGTGG